GGCCAGGAACCAGAGGCTGGATATCCCAGAGACCCAGGATAAAAGCAAACACAACCAGCAAAAACAAAAACAAAAACAAACAAACAAAAAGGGTGGGGATGGGGTGGGGGGAATCAATGAAAAGATCAATAATGGTATTCTGCTATACTTGTAGATAGGAGCCTAGGATAATCGTCATCAGAGAGGCTTCACTGAGCAACTGATGGAAACAGATGCAGAGACCCATAGCCAAACATTAGGAAGAACTCTGGAAATCCTGCAGAAGAGGGGGAGGGAAGACTGTATGAGCCAGAGAGTCGGACACAAGAAAACCCACAAAGTCAACTAACCTGGGCTCATAGGGGCCCACAGAGACTGAACTGACAACCAGGGAGCCTGCATGGGACTGACCTATGCCCTCTGCATATGTTATGGTTGTGTACCTTGGTCTTCTTGTGGGACTCCCAACAGTGGGAGCAGGGGCTGTTTCTGACTCTTTTGACTGCCTTTAGGACCCTTTTCCTCCTACTGGGTTGCCCTGTCCAGCCTTAATACAAGGGATGGTGCCTTATCTTACTGCAATTTGATATACCATGTTTGGTTGATATCCATGGGAACCCCTCCCTTTTCTGCACAGAAACTGAGGAGGGGTGAGGTGGGGGGGTGGCTGGGAGGAGAGGAGGGAGGGGAAACTGCAATTAGGATGTAATATATGGGATAATAAAACTTTTTTAAAAAAAGAACAAACAATAAAACAGAAAGTAAATTTAGAGATTTTAAAAAACAAAGATTAAATTTCATTAAAACAAAAGATGATATAAAAATATATTGATGCCATTCATTAAAGAATTGAAAGAGATGGTTATAAAAGGATTTCTCAAAAGTCATCATTCATCCTTTCATTCCTAATTTAAACAAACCTTTATGAACTAAGAATAAAAGGACATTTCCTCAATTTCATGATTAGCTGTAATTTTATCTCTTTGTTTTTTCAAAGATTTGGGCAATGAATGTCCCTTATCAGAGAATAAATTCCTTCCCACTGCAAATTTTTTTTTGAAAATTTTTTTTCTTTTTTTAAATTTGAATTAGAAACAAGAATGTTTTACATGTCAATCCCAGTTCCCTCTCCCTCCCCTCCTCTCTTACCAACCCCCCCCCCAACTAAAACCCTACCTATCACATATCCTCTCTGCTCCCCAGGGATGGTGAGGCCTTCCACAGGGTGTCATCAGAGTCTATCATATCCTTTGGGATAGGACCTAGGCCCACCCCTATGTGTCTTGGTCAGGGAGTATTCCTCTATTCGGACTAGGCTCCCCAAGACCACACCTATGCTAGGGATAAGTACTGAACTACTATAGGAGGTCCCATAGATTTCTGAGGTCTCCTCACTGAAACCCACGTTCCTGGGGTTTGGATCAGTCCCATGCTGGTATCCCAGCTATCAGTCTGGGGCGCAAGAGCTGCCTGTTGTTCAGTTCAGCTGTTTCTGTGGGTTTCACCAGCCTGGTCTGGACCCCTAAGCTCATCACTCATTCTTCTCTACAACTGGATTCCAGTTCAGTTCAGTGACTAGTTTGGGTGTCTGTTTCTACTTCCAATGACTGCTGGATGAGGGCTATTGGGTGGCATATAAGTCAGTCATCAATCTCATTAACAGGGGAGGGCATTTAAGGTAGCCTCTCCTGTGTTGCTTAGATTGTTAGTGTCATCTTTGTAGATCTCCAGACCTTTCCCTAGTGCCTGATTCCTTTGTGAACCTAAAAAAATGAAAGACCTGTACCATAAGAATTTTGAATCTCTTGAAAAAATTTTATTTTTAAAAGAACATCATACATGCATACAATGTGTTTTGATTATGTTCACCTACCACTCCTTCCCCTAACTCCTCCTAGATCCACTCTCCCCATCCCTCCAACTCCTTCCCCAATTTCATGGCTGTTTTTTCTTTTTTAAATAGCACATTGAGTCCAATTTGTGATGCCCATATATACACCAGTGTGGAGCCGTTCATGGAAGCATGGTCTACCTACCAGAGGTCACATCCATGAAAGAGAGATTGAGCAGCTGACTCTCCCTCCCCTAGCAGCCATCAACTGCCAATGACCTCTCAGCTAGGGATGAGTATGTTTGAGCACCCTTTGCCCTCCAAGCTAGAATGCTAACTGGTGTGATCTGGTTAGGTCTTGTGCAGACAACCAAAACCAATATGTATTCAGGGGTTCAATGGTATTTTCATGTACAGAATATACTCTTTAACCCTAGTTTGCCCCAACCTCTGTCTCTTGAAATCTTCAAAATGCTCTGAGTTTGAGGGAAAGTTGTATGTTACAGATGTCCCATTAATGGCTGAGCACTATACAGACATTTATTGTCTGCACTTTGACTAGCTGTGAATTTCTGCATTAACTACCATCCATTGCACAAAGATTCTCTAATGAGAGCTGAGATTAATTAGAGTTGGGCACTAATCTATTGTAGTTGTCCCAACCCTCCGGACAGCAACCTAGGGCAAGATATCCAGGGACAGGAATGGGGACAAGAGACTCAAGAGAATGACCACAAGACAGGATTCTGATCAAGTGGCAAATTTTACTTTTTCCAGGCTAGCTTATATAGTCAGTAGTATGGGGTTAAGGGGAGGGGAAGAGGCTAAGAGGCAGGTGTTAGTTCAAGCAGGATGTTAGAAAACTATAGAAGAAGGATATTGGCAAGTTAAAAAGTTCATGGGTGGTGGGGAGAGGGAGGGTTGCCTAGGTAAGTGGTGGGACACGAGAGGGTTGCTTAGGTAAGTGGTGGGCCAAGGGAGGGTTACTTAGGTAAGTGGGCCTATGGTTGGAACAAAGGATTGATGTCTGGGTCCTGTTGTTCCTTCTGTGTGCTCATGCTTCTAGAAGCCATTTATAATCAAAAGACAGTTCTATAAACGTGTGGCTTGCCAAGTTTGGCCTAAAGGTTCATGCCAAGCTGTATGGCTCCCAACAATCTATGGTCATAGGTGTATATTTAAAGAACTGTTTGATATCATCTATCCCCTAGGGCTTATGAGTTCTCTAGCCATTGGTTCCTTGCTAGGTCTACAGCCCCAGGAAGAACAAGCTCCTAAGTATGACTGACTATCTCATGGCTTAGAGACAGGTGTTGTGAAGTCCAACATTTCCCTGCACTGAGTCTCTTCAAGGTCTCTCCTCTGTTCATGCTACATTGTCTCAAGAATCTGGTTTGACATTGAGCTGTGACAGGATTAATTTGATAACAGGAGGAAACAACTGCCAATGGAATACCATAATCAATTCATTTGTATCTTCACTTAATGTGTGCATGTGCTCCACATGCATACAGGTGCCCAGAGAGGCTAGAAATGGGTATCAGATCTCCTAGAGCTAAAGTTAAAGGGGTTGTGAGCTGCCTGATAGGAGTGCTGGGAACCAAACCCAGGTCTCAGGAGCAGCAAGTGATCCTAACCACTGAGCTGTCTCTCCAGCCCCCATGTGGATCTTCTTGCTCATCTGAATTATTTTGGTACTCCCTCAAATGATGCTCATGCCCCTGAATTATTCTGATCTTTTCAATCTGGCTGAAAACTACCCACATGTTTTCAACTGTTTTTCTTTTAAATTCACAGAGCTTAGGCTAAGTAAGAAGGGCAGGAAAAAAAAATGCAAAATGCATACAAGTGTTTGATTCGGATTTAAACCATACTTTTGGCAAGGACTTTAAGCTAATTTCTAGGCATAATTTGGTACAGTGATAAAAGATTCACTGATGCAATCCCATCCTTTCTGTATCATTATTAATCAAATAAATATTTGAATTTTTTTCTTAATGCAGTGTTATGTAAAGACTAATCAACTTATGTGCATTGATGTTTTGTGTTCACTATAAATGTAATACAGTATTGTAATTCCCCCATCTACATTATGAATACTAGTGTCACCATCAGGTATCAAGGTACTTTACCAAGGTACTATGCCCAATTATTATATGCCACCTTATATGCTTGCATGGATATAATAAATACACACACAAACACACACACACACACACACACACACACACACACACACACACACCAGGAAGAATCACTAAAATGTGGCTTATCTCTGGAAGACAATATTATCAAGTCTTTTCTTCTTTCTTGGGATTTAATTTAATGCATTTGTGCCATCTCTAAAGGAGAATATAACTGTGCCTAAGTCACCTACATTCCTTACCTGTGGCTACTTTCCTCTATACAAGACAAAAACAGCAGACAAGTCTTTCTTTTTTAAAAATCTATGAGTGCTGCCTGGCTATGCATGTACACCTGCAGGCCAGAAGAGGGCATTACATCCTCTTATAGATGGTTGTGAGCCACTATGTGGTTGCTAGGAATTGAACTCAGAACTTTGGAAAAACAGCCAGTGCTCTTTCCAGCCATGCAGACACGTCTTTCTTTCTTTTTTTTTTTATGACAAATTAAAATTTATTCCTCGTATCATTGATACATACTCTGGGTGTCAATGGCATCTGACTTAAGTTCTCTATCTCTTCTTCCATTTTTAATGGCCTTATGATTAAATGACCTAATGACCACCCAAATAATCCAGGATCATCTCTCTCTTTCTTAAGACTTTTAACATAAACATTTTAAGGTAGTCTCAAGATTATAAAGAAGGTTGGTCTCAAATTCACATTACTCCTGCCTCAGCCTTCCAAGTGCTAAAATTCTGAACCACATTTTAATTTAATACATCTGCAATGTACTAACTATGATTTCTTATGACCTATAAAATAAAGTATCCACAGAATTACTATACATGTATCTGTGATAAAAATCAAAATTCGTGGGCCTCCAAGCCTGATGACAAAGTTTGTCTTTGGGACCCACACAGCAGAAAGAGGAACAACTCCTAAAATATGGTCCCAACATCTACATGTACCACGGAATGCACACACACGTGAACATATGCACATGCACACACACTCACACACACCCAAGAAATATACGCTTACACACAAAACACAATACAAATGAATGTAATCCTAAACATTTCTTAAATATTTATTAAAAAAATAAACAAAACTTTCATTTCGAACTGTTCAAACTGGAAATAAGACTCCTCTAACACTGTTCATTTAATCTTTTCAATTTGGCTTCATATCTTTTCTGACTCCAGGACAGGAGAGCAATGTTTGATGAACTCAAGTCATACCCAGCATATACCAACTCTTTCATTCGAGTTTTTAAAGTATTTATGCTTACATCCAAAACTCTAGGACTTTCAATTATTTGTGAAATACTGACTTTTTCTTCTAAGAGGCAGTCTATTTTACCATTAAACTTTTTCTCTGACAAGAAGATCACGTTCAGATAGCTTAGGACAAACTTCTGTACCTCCTCATCAGTGCATCCAAGAGAGAGCAGTTTCTCCCGGATATTAGTGTAGTTTCTTTTGGTACAGTCATTGGAAAGATCTAGGATTCTAGCTCCTGGGCCACATATCAGAAGCAGCAGGTCCTCCTTGTTTAAGTTGAATGTTGACTGTAAAAAGTCAATGTTAGCTTTTACCCGTTTGGTGCTCTGAATCAAGATGGAAGGATTTTTAGAAAGTATATTCCTGACAAAAGCTCTGGGATCATTGTGACCTAAGGCCATACTAGTCTCCTGCAAAAACTCAACCATCTGTTTATTCAAATTCAGGCTATTGGAGAAGGTTCTAGGAGCACTGGTCAACAGTCTGCAGAGGCTTTCGTTAGTCAATCCCACAGAGCAGAGGAACTCTATATTATTCTCCAAGTTTAGGTTGTTATTAGACCGAAAAAAGGATTCAGGAGAACGTTCCAAAATATTTATAATTTCAATGTCTGATGCCATAATCTTTCTCCACAGATCCCACCGTTTTGAAAGACCTTCAGAATTTCGTGTTATGGCTCGTGGGTATCTTGATATGATATTACCAATCATTTTGTCACTGGCTCCTTTGGATAGAAGGAATACTTTCAGTTCCTGCTCATTTGTAGCCATCCTGTTAAAAACTCCAGGCTGTCGTCTCCTTGCCATGTCAACATCAACTCCCATGGTGAGTAAGTTGCTCAGTAGGTCCTCGTTCTCCAAAGGCTCTCTGTGACTGTAACATTTCACACTAAAAGGCCTCAATGAAATTGATTTCAGGAAAATTTCTGCTGAATATTCGATCATCCAACCTCTCGAACCAAAGAGGAAGTTCCTTCCCATACACCAGCCATTTCTTGATGCCATAATCACCAGGTAGACCAAAGGTTTTCAAATGCTGTGTAAAGTAACATATAATGTTAACATATAATATTAAATGAATGCCTGTGTTAAACAGCTGATGATAATATTATGATCCTTTAAGTGCAACAGGCCTTTCCAGAAGAAAACACCTACTCCTTCCATGTTCCTGGTTCTGCACGCATGCTGTGCCTCACTGCTTCTGCTGGATACCTATGGACACAGGGCTCTACAGCTCCCAATACACACCAGTGCTGCTCACAACTGCCCTGTCCTTTTACTGTTCTTCTTTACTTCACTGTGCCTGTTTTCCTATCCAGAATCAGTTCTCCCCCCATCTCTTTTTCTGGTTTCTACATCTTGGTTTGTTCCTAATAAATGGCATTTTCACTATCATCTTGCCTTTCAGCCTGTCAGATGTCTGACCTGACCTTGACCACAACACTAGACTTCTTTGCTTCTGGTCACCTTGATTTCAAACCCTGAATATAGGCCTGAAAACAATACTTCAGACTGTCTAATTTCCATCGTTCCAGTCTTCTTCTAGATTTATGGTACCCATTAAATGGATCACATTGATTCTTAGCTTATTCACATCTCTGGACAACAACTGCTAACATTAATCTCTACCTCAGTTTACCAAATTGTTTCCTTGATTGCAATGCAGTATTTCTAAGTTAATGTCCCTCTTCAAAATTATACAGAGTGGATGGAGTGTTCAGGGTTAGGTACATCAGTGCAACAGCACCTGCTTAGCATGCATGAGTTCAATCCCCAACACCAAAAAGGAGAAGGAGGAATTGGTTTTCTAGTTTAAGGGTTGCCTGATTTTAAATCTGGGATAAATGGCTAACCGAGGTGCCTATTTAACATATCAAAACTGACATGACTGCCAGGTTCTCCCGGCATCCCTCAGTCCCTACCTGTTACATCTATTTTCACTATGGTTCCCCTCTATCCTCTCCCTTCCTCCTCTCCTCACATAACCCAGCTCAGTCTGCTAGTCATGTCCACCCTGAACCTTTCCACGTGCCTCTGCCTTTTTCAACCTCATACCTACAATAACCCTTCTTCTCTACCATACCTTGGAGCAGTCATATCCTCCTTTTATTTCTTTTTCTCATTCAAGAGTGGCTCCTAGTAGGTCAAACACTCCAATGGTGGCCGTATACCCAAAGAAATATACGTGACACTAATTGAACTCAATGGAGAGAGAGACAGACAGACAGACACAGACAGAGAGAGACAGAGAAAGAGAGACAGACAGAGAACACAAAGTTGAATGGTTATGGAATGGGATATGGATCTAGGAGGAGTCTGAGAAGGGGGTGAATATGATCAAAATTCTCAAGTCATAAAAAAAAAAAAAAGAATGAACGCTCTATCTAACTTGTATGACTCAACCTTTTCCCTTCCAGACACTCATGGGTGACCTCTGCTGGAGAACTGGACTGAACACTATCAGCTTACAATCAGACAAGTTTTATCAAGAGCTTTATAAATAACAGTGCAAAACAATCCAACAGGATATACAGAGAAAAAAAACAGCATAATTCTTAAACTATACTTGTCTTGTCCTATAAAATTTTCTACTTCTAGTGAATTCTCTTCAGATTATTAGCACCATTGTAAACAGATAAATATGCAACAGAATATTCAGGAGAAATTATAATACAGATAAACCAAAAATTAAAAGGTATGCCAAGACTTCTAACAAAAGGGTAAAAATTCTGTGAGGGTTTCAAATCTGTTAGGGTTTCTGTTAGATCTATCAAAGTAGATTTTGTTTCTCTTTAGATAACTTATCCTCTAGCAAATACCTTCTAAGCAAATCAACATGCCCAAGACTGAACTGAGCATCGATGCAGCCCCAAACTCTCCCTCATTAATGTCATTTGAGATAAGCACCATGAGGGTGCTTATCTTCCTCTTTCTTACTTACTTCCTCTTTCTTACCCCTACAATCATCAAACTGTACATTCAGCATCACTCAAAAACAGTAACAAAGCAATCTTGCTCTGAACTCCCCAGACCATTGTAATCTCTTTGTCTTTCCTGCCTTTTCATTATTTTTAGTTGACATAATAATGGATTTCATTAGATATATTTGATACATATGTGTGTGTGTGTGTGTACTTTTCTTATACTATCCCCTCATTATCCATTATACCACACCACTGGTCCTCTTCCTCCTCCCAAAGTTCCTTTTTTACCTCCATGTGACACACATGCATACAGATATACAACTTATGTAAATCTAAATTCTACATTAGAAACATGTCCTATTGTTTTTCCTCATAATTCTCTTATTGCCCTGTCCCCTTCTTGTTAGATCCCTCCCCACACAGCAGTACTTTATACTTTGATATCACACACACACACACACACACACACACACACACACACACCTCTTCTGAGTTTCACTTACATTAATGTTAAATGTGGTAAACATCAGTAAAATCTCGGTGACTGAGTGATGTCTAAGGAGGAGGATTTACGTTTCCTTCTGCCCCACAGATGGACAGCTAATGAATGGGCTGTGAAAGAAAACACTAACCACTGGCAGTGGGGTACCGAAATCCGGCTGATCTTTCGACACAGCATTTAAATGTAGAGATTGTTACAGAACTACATCTCCACATCGTTATTTGTCTTAAGACGGAAGACTCTGGATCTCGATCTCTCCAGAAAAGGTAAGGAGGAGATGTGTCCACCATCGCGGCTCCAATCCGGAAAAGAAAAGGCAAAATATCGCCAGCGAGGCAGAAAATAAGGAGATCGAGGGGGAGACGCACAAAACAAAACATTTCTCAGTCGACGAAAAGAAAACATCAACGAAAGGCCCAGCTCCGTGCAATCTGGGGGAAAGGCAGCGGAATCGCAGTGGGTTGTTAACACCACAACTCACGTTTCTCAAACATTTTCTTCCTAATCCCCGACCTTCACACCAACGAAAAGGCGGGGCGCGGTCCCTGAACTCGCAAACTCTGACACGATCTCAGCTCCTTCATTCTCTCGAGTGCAGAGACTCGGTGAGTCCTCCCCGCAGGCTGTCCGTCCTCCAGCGCAAGGATGCACAGCACAGACCCGCTTAGAAACCCCGCAGCGCGCCCAGCATCTCTCTCAGCAACCACACACCGGACTCACGCTCGGTGCAAAGTTCCCGGCAGACACTATCTACTTCCGCTTCCGCAGGCCCACCAAGGGTAGGAGGGCGGAAGTAAACGCTAAATTTCGGCCTCCGGCTGCGCGCGGTGATGACGTCATCGGACCACGCTTCCCCGGGCGGCGTACCCACCTCCTGGCTCATTTGACCGCTATAGCCCAGCAGGGGGCGGCAAGAGACCGCGATGGGAGCACCTGCCTAAGGGGCTGGTTTGGACCGCAGGGTGGCGCCGCGGCTTCACCCTGGCTGGGGCTGGCATCCTGTCGGTACCAAGCAAGAGTTTTTCTCTTTGTATCTCAAGCTGCTTCTTAGGTTGCTTTATAGACCGTTGATTTCTTCTGCATTGTTTCCGTTTGGGTTTGGTGTTTATAAGAATAAACGATTTCTCTTTGGGAATCTAAATTACGGATTAGTTTACCTGTCAAGTGAAACTGCCAGTGGTCTCACTTCTGCCTGAGTGTTCTTTGCTCTGCATGCATGTTCCGCGCAGTTTTATTGTTGTTGTTGTTGTTGTTTTCCAACACCAGAACAAGCAAGCTGAAGTCCCTGTGCAAATGATGCCATTGAGGAAAAGTGTAGATATTGAGGTAGTGGAGAGTTTGGAGAATAGGAAGATCAAAGGAGTGAAAGGTGAGGCACAAATAAGAAAAGGATTAACAATGTCCCAGCAGACGGAGCAAAGGAAGTAAGATAATCAATTGAGGCCACCCTGATGCTGAAAACCTAAAGTGATGAGGCAACAAAATTTGTGTCAGACAATAATATTTACCAATAGAAAACGCCAGGGATTGTTTAAGCACCATGGCAAGTGCATGCAGAATCATGCTGGAGACAGCGGAATACAGAAGCAGATTTAACAACGATGAGACACTCTAGTTCTGCTTGAGGGTAATGCTTAAGTGTCATAATACTCTGACCGCATGCATCCAGTGGGAGCATTTGCAAAACTTCCAAAATTGGTATGAAAGGTTGAATCAAAGTTCCTAAGGACCAGCCTCCTAATAATGTAGAAGGTCTTCTCAGTGCTCTCAGGTATACAAACAAAACATTTGAATGATGAGACTACCTCCAAGCAAATTAGGTCCATGCTTCAGTAAGAGCTGAGACCCAGGCCCTTGCTGCATGAACATGCAGCATCGTGTTCTTCAGTGAAGGCAGTCTTCAGTGATTGCCACTAAATCTCCTTATTCTTGTTTTGGTTTCTTTGCTCTGTTCCTCTTTCTACTTTAAATCATGTTCTTGTTCTTAAGGCTGCTTTTATGTGCCACAATCAGTAATGTTATACTTGAAAGGGATTTTTTCCTCTCAAAACAGGCCACCTAAGACAGTTTATTATGCATTGTGTTGAGATCTCTACTGAGAAAAGTAGAGATCTGACTTGAACTAAATATTTGTAAATGTGGATTTTTTTTGGAAAGCTAATATTTAGTATTGTTTCTTTAGCATGGCAAAATTGCCTCTTCTACTATTTAAAACCCTCGTATATTTATTTTCTACATGTGTCCAGCCAAATGAAATGTTTAAATTAACTGTGTTGTACAAATGGTACCCAACACAAACTTTTAAAAATTAGTATGACTTTTGTTTAAAGTTTGCATTTTGACTTTTTTTGAAAGGATGTATGTTGTGTGCTTAAACTTTATTTTAAAAACATTAGAAACTGTGATGTGTGCATATAATATTGTGTATACATGCAGGTTCATGTTTAAGAATGACTGTTGATTAAAAATAACAATCAGCTTTTCTTAGAAAGAAGAAAGAGAAAAGGAAACAACAATTAAAAGCAGTGTGGTAGAGCTTTTTCAAGGCATTGTTCTGGAGTTCTCATCTTTTTGAGTTCTTCATGATGATTAAATCAACTTTGTGTCAAAGTTGTGTTACTACACAAGTGTCTCTCTTTTATGTCTCTTTTCTGAAAGGATGGTATTATGTGATGATGCTTATGATTTTAGATGATGTCATTTGGAAAGAGGAGAGTACAGAAGTCTACATCAAGGTCAATCCCTCCCTAAAACTAGACTTGAAATACTCCAGAATAGGTTGGATGTGAAGTTCAAATATTAAGTTTATGTTATCTTCAGAATTGTCTCTTCCCTCTTATAACCAAATATTAATAATAATTATAAAATAGTAATGATTAATAATAACTGTTTTGCCTGATATGCCTCCATGACTAACTTTTCCTTGGGAAGTTCACAGTCCTTTACTCTTGTGTTTGAGTCTCAAAAAACCCAATTACAGTCAGAAAGGAATTAGCTCTCCATTCTAGTAAGAGTACACTCTGTTAAAATAACACCATCCACAGACTCTAGGATTCAGTAAATAAATGCCCTGTCTACCTCCGTCTCAATTACTCAAATCTTTCATTTTCCTGTAGTTTCACTCAAGATGGTTGTCTTAAGGTCTATTCAGCTTGAACTTCCATATAACAGTTCATCATCAAAAGAAGTCAGGACAGGAACTCAGACAGGGCAGGAACCTGGATTGAGGAGCTGATACCGAGTCCACGAAGGAGGGCTATTTACTGACTATTTTTTTTCGTGCCTTGTTCAGCCTACTTTCTTATAGAAAGCAGGACCACCAGCCCAGGGATAGCACCACCCATAATGGGCTGGGCCCTCCCCCATCATTAACTAATTGAGTTAATGCCCTATACACTTCCTACAACTGTTATTATGAAGGCATTTTTCTCAATTGAGGCTTATGTGAAGTTGACATAAAACTATCCAGCATAATCATCAAGTGAACTTAGCTCTACCAGAAATGTTCTATAACCTTGCATATGAAAACTGTATGGAACCTTGAAGTCAATTCAAGACCAAATTCTCCGAACAAAGATTTATTTGCTCCTGTGAGACAAAGGGAAGGGGATAAGAGATGAAGACAGGAGATAGAGGACAAGGGAGAAAGTGTTGGGAACAAGGGCGTGGGGGAAGGGTTATTTGTCCCAGAGGGACAAAGGTCTGCCTCTGGATAGAGACAAAACAGAAGACCCATAGGCAAATGGAAGTTTATAACAGTGAAAAGGGAAATCTTGTGTTAGGATGAGATGTTTAATTTTAATTGGGCATGTTAATTAGGTGAGCCAAAGGAAGCCTTTGATTGATGGACTCCAATACTTTGATAGCTGGATCTTAGTGGTCAGCCTCACAAGGAGGAAATGGACAAACAAGGAATGGACTTTGGTGCCCTGCTTTAGGAATGTAATCTAATGGTTTTTAGCAAGACAGTGGGAATGGGGGAAGGGGCAAGGTCTGCCAGAGCTAAGTTTGCCATGCTCCAGCTGTCTTGAATCTCTTAAAAAAAAACTCTACACAGTGTTGTGGTTGATTAAAGTGATAAAGTTACTGAGAGGTTTTCAAGTACTTAATATACTGGAAACTACCAAACAAAAGAGCTAGTTCTATTCACTTCCCTTTGAAAACAATTACTTTCAAATGGCCCCTACAGAATTTACTCCGAGCAACCTACTCTCTCTGGAAGTGCCTAACTGGAGTCTAGAAAGAATCCTCAAGTCAGAATGCTTAATATAACAAAGGCCTGTGGCAAAAACTGGACACTGGCTTGGGAAATTTGCTGACTGCAGACCTGAAGGGATCCTGGATTCTGATGGGAGTTAGGCTCAGAACATAAGCAGGACAGAATTGGCCAAGAGAAACAGAATAATCCTTTGAAATCAAATTCAGCAGTATGAGTTTAAATACCTGTGGCATGTTTTGATCCTACAGAACTATGCCTTTAATCAATTACCACTGAGGAATTTTTGATCTTTGTATAGAATCGATCTCAGCAGAGAAATGGACAACAAATACTCAGAAGGATGACATTTTCCTTGTTTAATTATTCATGGTATGTTTTAAAATTCCACCTTAAAGAGTTATTTCTCATTTTTATAGTGTGGCAGTTGTAAATTTAAATGCTCCGAAAGAGGAAACATTAAGCTATTAGCAGGAAGTTTTTCTATAATGGCCTAGCCAGTTATTGTCTCAAGCTTGCAAGCTCATGTATATGCTATTATTTTATCCATGCCTTCTCTCTCTGTTTTTAACCCTTTACTATTTTCTTTCCGTGTGTGTGTGTGTGTGTGTGTGTGTGTGTGTGTGTGTGTGTGTGGGGGAGTGTGTGTGCATGCGTGTGTGTGTGTGTGTGTGTGTGTGTGTGTGTGTGTGTGTGTGTCCGTCTGTCTGTCTGTCTGTCTGACTGTCTGTGTCTCTACACATAGGTGTATGCAAGCGTCCTCAGGGGCCAGAAGAGGGCATCAGATCTCTGAAACATTATCAGGCCTACTTCTTTCACATTTCTGTATAAATATGATTCATCATTCCAATTTCTGTAAGTCTGAGAATTCTGTTCAGCCATTGTAATTCTAAATGCATTTTATCTGGGCTCAAATGACTTTAGTACATACATGTTATTCTTCTTACTCTTCAACAGCAATCCCTTGAGGACGTAGTATCTTGCTACTCATCCTTGCGAAATCCAACTACCAATTGCCCTTTCATCCTCTGGCTCTGCTAACTACATATGCCCCTGGTGCACGCAGATTCCAAAATTATCAAGCCTCCCACTAAAGAAATCTGCATCTAAAAGCATCAAAGAAAAATGTAGACTGTTACAGAGTTTACATATACTTATCAGCAACATCCTCAACTCACACTGTTAAATTGATTGCCTCATATTTTCTTTCTTCTGAATGGTCCCCGGAACTTCAGACTCTTCTATTTGTTTTTTGTCGAATTTCAACTATGTTCTGTCCTGTCTCCATACTGACATCTCTAACACCAGCATGAGTCACAACAAAATAATTTTTCATCTGGGGAATACTCCACTATGGAAAAATCTGTTTTCCCAAAAAGGCAGGTTGTTAACCTGTTTTTCAGAGAAGGTAAACATGAAGAGCTTAAATAATTAATCTTCTATCATACAGCTAAAATGTAAGCAGAAACTAGACCCATACTATCTGAAATTAGAGTCTCAGGCCTGAACAAAGCCCTGATAGTCTCTGTAACACTTAACTCTATACCTGTC